AAAAGCTAGAAAGCTGAAATTTTAAGGGAATGTTCCCCGTCCAAGTAGGTACTAACGAGCTCAAACGCAATCCCCGGGTAAGCGTGGTACCCGCGTACGGGCCCGCCTAAATTTTTTTCGGGTAAGTCGCTAACTCGAAAGTTTGAAAAGCTAGAAGACTGTAATTTTAAGAGCATATTTCCCGTCCACCTCAGTCTCACTGAGCTCAAACCCAGCCCCAGGTGTGCGTGATACCCACGTGCGGGCCCGTGAAAGTTTTTTCGGGTAATTTGATAGTCGGGAACCTGAGAAGCTAGAAGACTGGAATGCTGAGGGGATGTTTCCTGACAGTCCTGGCGGCCAGTCTGAAATTCTTTTAGCTTGAAGCATCTGTGGGGAAAAACAGTGCCGTTGGCGACATATATCTGCGACGAACTATGCGAAAAACGCCCGTGCGTTGGCCAATTATTAGTAACTGCTGAGGATCGGAGCTTTGCACGAGGTTGGAGATAATATAGGTCTCTATATTCGCACAAGCTCAAAATTGCCATCGGTGGGAGGCGAGTGACGATTTTTTCAATAAAGAATTCGTTTTCTTCACTTATCAACTATGCAGGGGAATGGTACCATATCTTATTTTTTTTTTTTGTATGTTTCTTTGCCATGTGCCAGTATATCACTTGTCACTTGAGCGAAGTTCATCCACTAGGACATAGACTAATTCTGGTTTATGTTGAATTCAGATTGATTTTTGTCCCGGTGTTTTTGAGAGTTAGCAGCATTTTGAGTTTTTTGAATATGATTTACTGTTTTTGAAAATTCTTTTGCTGGAGAAAAATTTTGTGACTGTTTGATGCTTTGCAGAATGCTGAAACCGAAATGGACGTGAATCTTTCCCTTAAAGTTACAAATGGTGTATACGTCTGTATGCCTCTCTATAGCGCTGACCTGAATGAAAACCTCTCGGCGCTACTGATATCACTGGAAAGTACGGACGTTAGCGTTTGCGTAAAAAAAGAGCTTGCATGTCAAGCAACATTCCATAATTTCAAAGTTAAATTTATCGACAATTTCGACGATCAGGTTACTTTTTTGGATGTATTTTTCCATCAATAAACGATGACCTTTTCAGATTATAGATGCAGCTGCTGGATTTGTTTAAACTCTAACTGCGCTTACTTGCTTGCTTATTTTAATGCTTCTAACAGCTGCTTTTTCATTGTCGCGTTTCACTTTGTTTTACGAAACGAACTTTTTTTTACTAATAAGTATGGACCAGGAAGGAATAGAACCACTCGTCTTCATATGCAATTCACTGTACTAGCGGAGATCATACCATTGAGTTTGGCTTGATGTCGTCCCGCTAACGAATTCTTATCATCGACTTTAGCTTGAAGTCCTACATATAACCGTTTTTTGAGAGGAATTTCTAAAACAGTACTAAAAAGTATAAGAGTTTTCAGGCGCTTAATGATACGTGGATTGAAAGCGAGCCAGGCGATCCATCACGCTCCAATTATTTTTATTTTCCGCAAGGCACTTATCAGTTCGTATCGCGTGCAACATCCTCATCTGACCCGCGTGAAAGTGCAAATTGGACACTGTCAGTAAAATGGCAGATGTGCGGTATGGTCATCGATTTGGATCACGTAAGCACACATCCTCTTTCTTTTTTGTTGCATCAACATGCAGTCTTTTTAAATCGAATACCAAAAACCTTGTTTTTAAAGCATTTTTTTAAAATCGCCTTTTAAATCGGATAAAAAAATCGTTCAAATTTTTAAATCACAAAACCGTTTTTAAACCGCAAACCACTTTTTTTTCGAAAGCTTGATAACTGTAGGATTTAAGACTTCTTTTCTGGGGTTAAAGGCAGAAGGCCTCAAAATCGAAAGTTGCAGCTTCTCGCAGGTTACTTAAAAAATTTTTTTAAAAAAGATGGAAACTAGCTATGTAACGGAAATTCTCTGCTAATGCCCGTGTTGGTCTGCTGAATTGACTTAGCTGGCTGTGAAATTTGACTAGGTTTGTGGATATTTTCCTTGACTTCTGTAAGTTCCTGCATCATTTCGTTTTCCGGCCACACATACTTTTGTGTGTTCCTTCTCTTTCTCTTTTTGGCTCCGTTCGTCCCATTCCTCTTTGTTTTCTCGAATAATTCTCGTGAGGAGAATTTCGTTCATGATAACGTCAACATGAATTTTCCTAATGGTGATGTTAGTAATTTAGCGGATTGGCAAGCTTGTTTGGTTGTTGATAAGCACATTCTCATCGCTAACATCCGATACAAGCGAGGAAGACTGGGAAGAGTCGGCGAATGCCTCATCCACTGCCTATGGTGATGAAGATGAGCAGGACGCAGAAATAGATGAAACAGGTGAACTTGGGAGCCTGGCGCAGCCGGTTGAACGAATCCAGTGGCTCGAAAGAAAAGTAAATTGCGCTGATTTTTCTTCCTAGAGAGAATCTGTGTGTTGCCTTGAAAAGTTAATTCATTGACTGGAAACTTTTGGAACAAAGGAAAAAGTAATAAGATGACCATAGTTGAAATATCATTTTTTTCCAGTTCCGCATTTTTCATCGCTTCTCCACTTTAATTCTTCATCCGGAATAGTGGCAATCTGAAGTTTTCACGATTATCTCCAATTTTTTAGATGCACGAGCAGTCCGTTTTGGTAACTGATTTGATACAGTGTAAGGCATCGGAACCAGCTATCGAAAAAGAACGAAGGACACTGCGCAAATTGGAATTGGCTCGATTTAGACAGTTCCGGAAGTCGGTGATTGAGAAGCTAAAACGTAATGCAGCGCGACAACGCAGAAAATTAATGGAGCCAAAAAAGGTTGCATTTTCACAATCTCCAAGCATGTTTTAGTATTGGAACGGAAGCTTGAAGGGAATGAAGTACGAAATTGCTATATCGGTTAAATTGTTAAGGCATTTTTATTAAAACTGAGAAAAGGAGAGCCCGATGGAAACGTGAAGAGGCAAATTTTGCCTGATTTTTTTTCAAAATATTTGATTTAGCACTTTATTTCTTTGTTTTATTTTTGCTTTTCTTAGCACTGTTTTGAAATTTTTTTTAAAGTTTAATTGGACGACATTCGATTCTTCTTGTCTTTTTTCATGTTCCTTCTCTTTAGCACTGTAGTTAGGGTTATCCTCGAAACTGTCCAGCTTCATCTAATGCAGTTAGCTTGCATCAGGTAAATCGGTACTGGGCCTTGAGTTTTATACCGTTTTGTGCGCTTTCCGTTTTGATAATAACTGAATTTGTGCAGTTTAGATTCAAAACCTTAAGCACGGCATATAGGAGTTTCGTAATAAAATCCACTAATGTGGAATTTTCATACCAATCGTCTAGTATTCTCGGCAAAATTGCAGCCGTTTCGTCAAACATGTCTTTGGTTTAAAATTGCATTTTAGTCCGATGAAATGCATGATGCGGAGGAGCAAGCGACGGAGCCACTGTCGGGCGAACAATCGGAAGAGCTATCGCAGTCGCTGAGTACTCCAAGAAAGAAGGTATCACTGGGTTTGCAACTGAGTGGGCTGCATAAAACTTCCGATCCGGGACCATCGAGTGGTCGCTTGTCGGAGGGAAGCACGACAGTTGATACGGTGAATATGAATATCGATGTTCAGGTAAATTTATAATGTCGTTGCAATCAAAAGAAGTGACGTGTAGATGCTTCAAACAGCCGTCAGGCCATCGCCATGTTCCTTTCAGCCGTCGATTGTCGCTGGCGACATTTTTATTTTCCTTTTCGCTTTTAAGTTTTCAGAATTTAGGCGACTCTGTACAGGTTTATACAGAAAAAACCGGCCTTTTTTTTGAGGTCTCTCTCCTTTCCTTTCCGTTCACTCGCTCCTATCCCATTTACTCTCACTATCATATCGTTGTTCCTTCTGCTTCTTTCTACCATCTTCCTCTTTTCTTTCCCTTTGTACTGACGAAGTCCTGTTGCAGTTTTGACTTAAGGTGTATATGAATTAATGGACCGAAACGTCCTATCTCGTTCCTATCTCCTTCATTCATGTTGTAATCTGTCGCACTCTTGCTATTTGGGCTTCCAGGGTCAATCTGGTTGCTGCAATTTGCTTATACAGTTACAATTTTTTGTCTCATTGGCAACCTACCCAGTGTTTGCTTTATATGCCGTGAATGTTTTCCAGCGGCTGTTTATGCCTCTTTGTTATGCTAA